CTGGGAGTACCCCCCCCCCCCCCCCCCCCCCCTTCCCCAACCAAGGGATTTCCGTTCACTCTCTAAATACTACTTAAGGCTAATCTCGCGGAATTTGGTGAGGTACTTCCAGACTAATCACCATGCAACCGGCCACTTGTTAAAGAATCCTGGGCCGTTTTATACTTACATGGTAATGTTGCATAATCCAGTAAAAAGAGAAGTCTTTCCGCCGCCTCATCGACTTTGGACTGTAAACTCACTACCATGACACTGCTTGCATTTTCTAGGAATTGCGTCAAAGCCACAAGGTCTTTGGTGTTGTCTGGCATTTCCTGGACCTTGTCAGATATTTCATCGTACTGACGACATAAGCTAAACAAAACAAAAAATGATTACGAATGAGTGGGAAAAGCATTGCGACTGGTCGATTATATGGAAACAATGGGATAGCATTTCAGTGCTGTGGTATATCTCACAACCAATCAGGGCGCACAATTTTCTAGCAACTTGATTGGACGATTTTACAGAAACACTTCGAAACCATTGCAATGCTGTGGTATGTATGTCTGGCAATAGAGGTTTTGCACTATCACGTGCCCGTCCCATAATACAGCTTTGGCTGCCTGTGATTAGATGGCAGAACAATAAAATAAAAAATTCTTTCTCACGTAAAACGATTGTATTGTTCCTGCCAACATGGCTGCCGTCACGTGGTGGTGCAAAAGCTCTATTACCATGGTAACCATACATACCCTCTATTTTTGTCCCTGTTTAGATCCACTACATAAATGGTCATAGTAGCAGCTAGTTTAGCAGCTCTTGCAGATAGCTCCTGATTGACTTCATCACAGTTCAGACACAGCATATTCAGGGGTACCGTGATGTAGAGCGCTGCTATTTCCTTGGACAGGCTTTGGAAGGCATCGATTTTCTAAATGAAAAGCCACAGTAATTACATTAGTTATCAAGGTGGTATCTTACCCTACGCAAAACGTAACAGGCTAAAGAAGAAATGGTAGTAGTGTATGGTCTGATTGATTGATATCTACAAAAAAACATGCTAAATTCAAAGTTCCGGGTTCAATAAAATTTGAAAGCTTTATGTCTTCATGTCAGTCCCGTGTCCAAAATTTGTGAATGAATGAAACTATAGGTCCTGAATTCCAATAGTACAAGCTTTTACCTTCGAAAGCGCTAGAAGAACAGGTTCGTCTTGTAAAAATGTCATGACCTCTGTCTCTGCCTTGTTGTTCAATAAATCTTGGTATTTCTTGTATGTGTTAAGGTATCTGTTGAGGAACAGCATACAGTCAAGGAATCAGTATTAACATTACTACCCTTGATACAATGCATTGTGGGATACATTGGGGACAAGTAGAAAAACCACTGTGCTGTTTGTGCATCATAGAATGGCATAATTGCACTGCGCATCACATTGTTATCCCTTTGATACAATGCATTATGGGATACATTGGGATACACAAATTGCAATGTGCACTACGCATCATTATAAAAACAAGGAGAAAACGGAACGCAAGGGTGGACAAGATAGTTTCATGTCACACTTTTATGATTAATTCAACTTACTTCTGGGGTCCGACGGTGTTAATCTTGAATAATTCCACCGCACGGTCCATATAGTCCTGCACTAGCATCTCATCCACGGCAACGGAACGTAAAGTTAGTTGGCTGTCACGCATATCAGGGAATAACTCAGTTTCCACCTATTGAATTAATACATCAAAATATGAATAAGAATAATACAAACTTGAAGTGGCGCAAAGTCTGTGTACCTAAGGTACGTTTTCGCGTGTCTCAGCTGAGGTACAAAATATTATATAGAAGCGACGGAATCGAAGAATCGAAGGCAAAAGTACAATATACGCAAGGGATTGCAGTAAGGAGATGCACAACTAAGCCTATTGTGACCGCAGTTTAATACGTTTTCGACTCACCCTTGGCAAGTCTTCGGCGCTCTTAACGATCTCGGTTAGGAGTCTTAGTATGATGTCTCTCACTTCTCTGAAGGGCGGGTCAAAGATGAGTTTAGCACCGTCAATTCTGAGCTGCACGACCATGATCTATAAACAAAAATACGGGATCAGTGAAGTTAAAAGGAAGAAAGGTGAAGATCTGTAATGTTGTTTTCGACTTACCTCAACCATGACGTATCTAAGATCAGAAAAGTTCTCTCCAAAGTCATTGCCATCCTGTTGAGACGTAACCATGGTAATGTAACATATGATATAAACATGAGTAAGAGGCCGGTGTGTGTCAAATATCATGACCCACAATTAGAAAATGGTTGTACAAATCACAAGCAAACAACTAAAACAAGTGATGCAGCTCAAAAAGACCGATTTATTTAAGTCATACTTGCAGCTTTTGCGCAAGTAATTTCTTCGCGTGAACAAGTTTGCAATTTTGTTGGCAAGCAGCCTTGCATTAGTGCTATAAGCCAGTAAAAACCAAGTTTCGGTGCAATGATAGACAGAATAACATTGTTTTGTCTGGACCGCGCCCAACACTGATTTGCGGTCAATATTCTAAGTGACCACAGAAAAACTGCATCTTACAATACCTTATAGAAATTCAAAAACTCTACGAAGTCAGCCAAGGAATTAATGACCATGCTTCTGAGTTGAATGGACATGAGTGCCGCTACACAAGAAAAGAACTGCTGAACAAGAGAAGTGGAGTCGCCATCATTGGTCGGTACCAAATATGACCAATGAGATCGTCCAGTGTATAAAACATGTGCACAGGCTGGGATCCACCTGGGTAAGAAAAGAAGGGTTAGAACTGTTGAGAACGATAGGGTTAGAACGATAGTGGAAGAGTTTAATATCAGTCAATCGGCGAGTCATGCACGTGTACCAAAATTAAATTGACTCCGACGAAGGACTAACGTCCGAAACGCCAGTCTACTATCTTTCGTACCTACGGTGATAAAATTATCTACTACGACACATTTGGTTCAATTATATAACACCGACGCAGTCCAAGCTAGTTCCAAAACTAGTCTTCATCTCCCAAAACAAATAAATAGTCTGCGTTTTACGAGGTTAGTACTTAATAGCCAGTGGCTAACTAACCTGTGGCCCTCGATCCATGATTGAATTGGAATTTAGAATTTGATTTTTGTGTAAATAAAAAAACCGGAGAAACCCGGAAAAAACCCTCGAAGCTCAGGAGAGAGCCAACTAACATCTCTACTCACATACGACATTGACAGTCCCGGTTGCATTAGTAAGGGGCGAGAGCTCTTAACGCTATGTTATTTTCTTCCTCCTTGCCGCAGGTCTACTTACGTTTTCTTTAGGAATTCCCTCGTGTTCGCACACTGCTGTTTCACTAGAGCTTCAAACTCGTTGGGAGTCACGGGTAATCCTGCCGCTAGAAGCTCTTTGCCATCTACGAAGCGGGCGTTGCAGAACCTAACAATATTGACGACAGATTTCGTGTGAATGAATGGCCTCTTTGCAACTCGTATCAAGTCTGGTATTGACATATTTTTAAAAAACGATACGGCGACAAAACGACAACGGATGCACCATCTTTTGCATGTATGTGCTGTCGTAAAGGTCTTCAGTGGAGTATAAATGAACTACAAATGACGTCGTCCGGATGACGACGTTAGCCTTGGAGTCTAAGACGTGCGCGTAAAAATATAGTATTTGCGCCGTTGTGTGGCAACGAAATCTAGCCGATGTTCGGGTGAAAACGATGCTTTCTTCATCTTTTTCTGTGCGTTATTCTGAACACGCTGCACGAGTTTCAAAATGTAAAAATGCAAAACTGCAAATTTTAACAAATACGCGCAACAATCCTATGACGCCAACTATTGATCAGTAACGAACCTACGGAATTTAGGGAATCTACTATGGACGGATCTATTGTAGATCTAGTTCTTCTGGATGTCATACTTACCTATCGTACCACAGGTTTTGTATCTCCATCATCACAGGGTTTGTAATAAATAAGTTTTTAGCCATGCTATCCCAGCTGGTACGGTATGGGTCATGCCAGGGGACTGGAGCACGAATGGTCCTTGAAAACAAAAAATAACCACCACATTAGTGAATACTATATTATTATAAGTACTAGACGACGCGCGAATTTCGGTTATCGCAAATATATCTTCATAAAAGATTTTGGGATTTTAACAGGGTGCGCGCACTTCGAAATCGTCAAAATGCGGTACGACTCGCCCAGGCCGTATACATAATACGTGTTCTCATTATCACCTACTGAAGTGTGGAAATGCGCGCAAATATTTGGCAATTACCCTGAGTGCGCGCGGGCCAGTTCGACTCGTCCAAAGGAAATAATTTTCATGTTTTATACTTTAATAAGTCCGTTGTATTTTTGACGACCAAATAAAGCCTCTTTGCGCGCAAATATTTGGCATTTTCCATGGATGCGCGCGAACCAAGTTTACTCGTCAATAAAAACTTATTCTTATATTTTATATTGTAATGAGAGGGTCATATTAATGAGGGCGATATTATGGTGTTCAGTGTAAAATCTCGGTTGAATATGAAGTATTTCAAAAAAGTCACATTACCTTTGGGGAAATATTTTTGGGATTGCCTTGATATGTAGACGGTTTTTTTCTGTTGGGTCTTTCAATATGTAATTCACTATGATAGAATTATTGGCAAAAAAATGAGTGATCTGAACAGTAACATGACTCTTGAATGGCTTTCTTATTCCAGTGCTATGAAATGGACATATGCATCCTCTTCTTTTGTATCAAATGGGAAAGCCAATTGAGTGACAGTTGGGAAAGCTGTTTTCATGCATCCATCTTCAAAGCAGGAAATACAGATCTCTGACATTAAAATGGCTTTCTTATTCCAGCACTATGATTGGATTAAGTAAATTCTTTTCATTTCCATCCACTGAGGAAGCCATTTAGTGCCACAATTGGCTCTGATATAATCAAAACGTTCTCTTTCACAAGTGCAATGCCTCCAATACCACAACATAACATCTACTGTCATGCACTCACCAATAGCTAACCGCAAACTGATCTCATAGTCATCAGCTACTTCCTTTCTAAGGCTGGTTAGTAGAGGATCAAGGTCCTGATCAGAGGTCAAGATCTTGGGGATTCTTCTCTCTAAGATTCTTTCCATGACCTCAGGTTCTTGTGGCGCCAGAGCATCAACAGGGATACCCTCAGATATATAGTACTCATAACGCTATTTAGAAACATTTTTATTTAGTAAAATTATTCATGACTACTAATTAGCCAATCAAATTTCATAATTTTAAGGAAGAATACAACACCCTATACATGCTTTCCAAATTTTTCACAGGTGCTAAAACGTAGGATATTCTGGCACTGCAAAAATGGTTTTGGAAATCGGAAATCGTCAGAAAACCCAAATTTTATAAGGGCATGTATCTATGCAACGTCATAGAAGCCCTTTAATTGATGTCCAAAAGCCTACTTCATTGCAACACAAATTGTACAATTCTCCTTGCGTAATTGGGAAGCTCTATAAACTATCTGAACTACTGCACATTACATACACATCTTATGGAATAACAGATTCTGTGTCAATACCTCAAGGTCTCTTGAACTGGGTTCATCTTCATCCATGGCTTCAACTGTTTCACACCCTTTTATAATGTCCATCTGTTCCATGGGGGTCATGGCTCTACTGGGTGGACGTCTGAAATAAGAAAGGCTGGGTTTGATTTCCTTTGTGGTTTAATGGAATGACAATTAACAGAGGAACACAAAGCAAAGTTTTGAACGAGGGTTGGGAGGCTTAATTTTTGTCATGACATGGCTTGTCATGTGATTCAAAAACAGTATGGGTGGAGGCAGGCCTTTAGACCCCTATACCCCTCCAATATATAACTCTCATACTTAAAAACCATATGAAGCTTTGATTTTGACTTTAGGCATTAATTCTTATGCTTTGTTCGTTGAAACCATGGATGTGTTGGGGAACTAAGCCAATAGCGTCATACCCAAGCAATACTCACTCAATCTTAGGAAGTCCATTTGACGCTTCTCCTCTACTCCTTGGTTGGGTTGCTTTCTTCCTTGGTGTTGTTGGCTCTTTGCCTGACAATCAAAAAATGGTGTCATGAAAACCCCTAAATGTCGCTGCTTAATAAAGCGTTTCCTTTCCTTAAGTTTTATGAAATTGAAAAATTATACTATATCTAGTAACCACATTTTTCGTATGTGCTAAATTGAAAAGTATACTCTTATGGAAAGGACTTACCTTGCATAGTTTGTTGGCGGGATGGAGCTCTAGGGGACTGAATACTCTTAGGGAGACTTTTCAGCTTCAGGTTAGCTGCCATAGGGCTGTAATTGTTTGCTATAGATTCACTTGGCGTGCGTGCATAGGCTGTTTCTTTGAAGGGTGAGGCTTTAGTCCAAGAAGGATCTTTCATTATTGGTGGGTGTTCGCTGTGTCGTAACACAATCTAAGAAAATTAAAGGAATTCTTTACATCATTTGTAATAACCAGAAACATACCAGTAGATGAAATACTGTATGAGAAATTAATTCAAATTTTTTTCTACAGCCTTATTTGGTCATTTGTCTGACTATCTTTATATCACTCTTTCTGTCTGTCTGTCTGTCCAACAGGCTGACTGACTGTGTTTCTTTCCTGTTTTACAAGTCACACTAGCCATCTGTCTTTCTACATTCACTAAGCTCCTAGTACAGTGACTGTCTATCTGTCTGTCTGTCTTATCACACTGTCAAGGTGTCTGTCGGTCCAACTGGCTGACTGTCTATTTTACAAGTCAAACAGTTGTCTGTCTGTCTACATTCACTAGTTTTCCTACAAGTCTGTCTGTATGTCCACAATTTATTTTTCTAGAATATTCCTATCTGCCTTTACATACACACTACACTCTTTTGTAAAAATAATATGCAAGAATAATAGGCAAAAACTTGAACCAAGTACAATTCATTAATTTTAATTACAAAGATGCATAGAAAATTGAATAGAAAATAATATCCAAAACAAAGTTAATAAACATCAAGAAGGGTCTCTAATATTCAATCAAATTTTATGAAATACTGGAATAAAATACGTTTTCTTTAAGTAAAGAAAGAGAAATAAAGGAAAGAACAATATATAAAATTTTTACCCAATTTCTTATATTAGAAAATTTTAATACCAATTTTTCCTGTCATGGTGTCAAATTTTATGGTTTAGAAACACGGACTGTTTACATACTGTATTCATTAAAAAAATATTGATTTTTTTTTCTTTTTTTGCAATATGTAAAAATTAAGAATTCACTATTTTCTTCTCAAAGTCTAGAAGTAAAAAAGTCAAAATGGGAAAAGAAAGAAAATAATAACGATTACTTTTGTAACACTTAAGATGATATTTTTCTTGATTGCTTTAGATTTTCTTCAGTGATTTAGCATTTGGAATTTAAGTTTAAAAAGATAAGGATTTGACTAATAGAAGTGGATAGTTTTAGGATGACAGCCAGGAAAAACTGAAAATGTTTTCCTTGACAACGAAATGTAAGCATAATTTTAACCAATTTTATGGTACTTTCCAGCCGGGTACAAATTACGATTAATACAGTTAGCTCTACCTGATGCCGTATCCTCCTATTTATATCTTCCAGGATCTCGTGGATTTCTTCTTTTTGTGAAGATCTACACKCTTTTATAATTTCCATGGCTATTAAGTTATAAGTGAGTGATTTTTGCTCAAAGATAAACCGATAAGAAGTGGATGAATTAATGCAGCGAAACACAAGACACTTGATAATAAATTATGTATCCGAAGTGTAATGCTAAATGGCTCACAACCAACAGTGCGGAGACAATAGCAACAACGACAGCTGCTAGCACATTTATCATTATCATTCATTTATTCTAGCAGGTAAAGGAAAATAAGGGCAAACCTGATATAAATCGGATGGCTCTTCATGAGACGGTGGTAGAGGAGGTAACCCAGGGAGACCTCGAGTCTGAGAGCAACTGAAGATTGGATTACGAGCATGCTGAAGCAAAAATAAAATATTAATAAGACCAATTTGTTTGCAATTTGACTTCACGAAGAAACACTCACTCATTATGATATCTGTAAAGCATACCTTGACTCTCTCCATTGTGTATTAAGTATTTTTTCCTGTGCAAAATTCTAGAGTTTCAAGCACACGAAGAATTCAAAATGTCCCGAGTTGGAATTTTCAAAACTCCGTAAAAAAATCCTCTGGCCGACCTGTTGCATATGCAGACCTCAGAAGGTCTGAAAGGACTTTTCCAGGCTTCTAAAGCGTAGATAAGGAATCATAATGACTTTTAAAAACTCTAAACTAATAAAGGGATCATGTAAACATTTATGAATCCTTTGGATTTGTAATCATCGCCGACATTTTTGATTTTGTGCACATCCGGGGACTCGTTGCTATGTTTATCCATTGTTCGCTCACTGTTGCTATGAAGTGAACGCGCGCGCGATCTTCTCGCGGGATGGTCCAGAAACGTTTCTGAAAAACTCGCTAATAAAATTGCTTGGAAAAGAACAATAGTTGCCTCTTCTTATGCTAGAAAACAAATTTTCTATGCACATTTAGCGGGAACAAAATTGGGGAGAAAATTGGATATATTTATCGTCATTAATTACCCACGGGATATATTTTCGGGACCGGTCCCGCAAAAGAACTTTTCTTACGAGTCGCCAAATTTGCCCAAAAGAATTTTTTGTATTTGCTAAAAAGTGCTAAAAGACATTTTTTTGCCAGACTTAATATTGTGTGAGATTAAAATCGTGATAACATTTTGGGTAAACATCTAAAAAGGTAGCAGTTTTAGCTCTGTAAATAATCATATCAAATAAGTTTTTGGCCAACCAAAATACAGCTTATTGGTTCTAATATTTGTAAGGAGTTTTTGCCGTCTGAGTCCGTCTGAGAGATGCGGTGTTTTAATTGCTATCTTTGATGATCTGCCGCTACTTTTATCTTACTCCTGAGAGTCGGGAAAAAAAATGAAGGAAAAACTAAATAAAGGATTTAAAGATATCGTTTGCTTTTAAAACTATTTTTGAATTCCTGGTGTAATATTGAGTGAACTTAGTTGGCTCTATCTTGACGTACAGATATAATCTCTATAACAACAGTTCTTAATGCAAATTACGACGGTCTAAATCCCAAGAGTGCTGTAACTATGAAAACACAACAGCACAAAAGCACAGTGAAGGGATGGCTTGTGCGGTTGCTTCAAGTGTTTGTGGACAGTGTTGAGAGGGAATTGAATTCAAGTTTAGTAGCGCAGTTCAAGTACAATACTGATGAAAAGCAAGCAAACATAACCAAAGAGTTGGTTAAAAAGCCAAGTAAAAGAGCGTTGTTTGGCCGAGCCAAAATAAACGGCTCTATGAAGCCGACTAAACCACTCGTTGCACTTGAGCTGATAAAATCGAGAACAACTACCGAAGGAAGCCACTAAACGGTAACGGTCGCCACTCAACTTGGGAGCAAATTAATTGTTTATTATGTTAAGGAAGTAGCGGAAAAGTTGAATCAGGGTTACTGACAATGGAGGGTGCCAAAACAGTTGAAATGACAATGGGAAATTCCTTACAAGGTGGGTAAAAGATAGCTTGTCGTAGCAAATGAACTAAAGGCATAATGTCTCTCTGTTAACTTACTGAAATTAAGTGTGCGTTGGAAAACCATTGAATTGACAATTAACCTTTAGCTCTTAGTGTACTATAAGGGGTAACAGATAGAAAAGATAACATAAATTACAAATTGCAACATTATTTTCTAGTATGGTTTCACCCGTTTAATGTAAGCAACTTTGCCTTTCAAAAGTTTTCAAGCGTTTACCAGTTCTCAGTTCAGACCCTTGTCAATCGGTAAAAGATATCAAAAACATTTATTTTATGTTCGGCACTCCATAAAACGTGAACAGTATATACTATTACAGTACAAACACGACAAGATTTGATAATTTAAACATTTATTTTTAACACCTAACATAAACTCGTTGACTCGTTCATTTGATGTTAGTAGTATAGGGAATGGGGGTTCCAGCGCAATCTCAACACGGGCAAGACCCGTGTCAAAAATCCACCTACGGAAACAACCCACTCCAAGTGTGGTTGGGGGCAACAGCGCAAATATGTTAGTCTATATATGGAGTGCGAAGAATGTAAGAG